ACATATTATATCCCAAACACTCTCCAAGAACTGCTGAATAACTTTTAAAAGAACATTAATACCGATAATATGTCATTTTCAGCCTGCCAAAAAGTGATTGTGGACTATGTCTTGTCAGCGAAACAATATTTATTACGCACATAATGACATGACATTTCTTTTTAAAAATAAAAATAAACAACTTTTAGATTGTATACATTGTCTTATTTAAATATAAGGATAATTTCACGTTTTGGAAGGTTTTCATTCATTCTTTCATAAAATATGTCTGTTTTAGAATATTATTTTTTCTTTTCCCTTTAAAAAATGTTTTTCCGATTTAAATTTACTCAACATCCTGTTGTTTTGCTTAGAGCTCAATTGGTAGGCCTAAGGTGCTTCAATTAGCAGAGTGTAAGCAAAGCGTTACAGAGTCATGGACCCCACTCTTTATTCCGATATCCTGTCGTTTAAAACCAATGGAGCCTTGCCTAGTGGGTTTTCCACCACACAAAAGTGCAATTTTCGTCGAAAGGCAAAGAACTTTGAGGTTCAAGGTGAGTTTGTCGAATGTTTTACGTAATTTTTTAGCTTTCCACTGTTTGCCAAATTTGAGTTTCATTAACAGCTGCGCACAACAGCGAACAAAAGTAGGGCATCCTAGTTATGTCTCTTGAGGAATACATAATATTTGTCCTAAAACATGTATAGTGTGTGTTCTAATTCCCAAGTGACCAACATCATCGCCATCACCGCCATTACTAGGTGTGACGGTGTTGTAACTAGTACTGGCTAGCTTTAGAAGTTCGTAGTGTTTACAACTTAATTCTGTTTGAAAATTAAAAATGGGAATTTTGTTAATGACACCAACAACATATTATTGTTGTCTTGTAATTTTTCTAAAATGAAAAACATAATTTGACAAAAAGGGAAAATTTAGAAAAAAAAAGGAATTTATATCGTGAGGTCACGTGTTCTGTTCGTGTGTTGTTTTTTATTTTGCTGTGCTAATAATACACGTGTCAGCAATACAACAGTCACTCCCCCTTAATGAAGTTTTTAATTTCAAGTAAACAGAAAAATGCCCTGCTTTTGATTTTTAAATGCGTGCATTGGCTCATAACTGTAATTCATAATGAACTATGGTGTGTTATTCAGGAAATATTTATAATTAACCATTAACTCTTTGGTGTGGTACATTGATATTGTGGAAATAATTCTATTTACAAATACACATGTGTTTTTGACCATGTTACAGTACTGTAATAATTCCACATTTATGACTATATTATAGCTGATTAAAACTACTCATGTATTTCTTTTATTTCTTACAGATGGCGAGTTGTACTACATAAGGTACAAAGGCACAAATCACTGCATTAAGGCAAAAGTGCTGTGTGGGCCCAACAAAGCCAATGAAGTTTTCCTTGACTTTCATGCCAGCAGTGGTGGTTCGCACTGTGGCCAGAAAAAAACAAGAGAAGCAATCTCAAAAAGATTTTATTGGCCTGGAATGTCAGAGGACATAAATTTATGGGTCTGTATACAATTTGATTATACATGCATATTGTTTGTCTCGCAAAATGTTCTTTATTGTCTTTAATTTCAAGTTAACAAGTGTACTAGTTAGCTGTTGATGTCTTATACGTTTTGTATCAGAAAAAAATTTAAAGTCTTTTTATTGAGATTTATATGATTTAAATTATTATACTGATTATATTATAATAATATTATTTTATTTATTTTGCCCTCCTTTCAGGTGACTCAGTGTGTGGCATGCCAGGCCAGCAGTGTCATCATTAAAAAGGAGGTGGAGTACACACCGATAGAGGTAAACATTTTAGGTGTATTTTTTCCTGTAAATGGTTTGTGACATAATACATAAAATAAAAAACATTGATTAAAATTCAAATTACTATATTGAAAATAAGGAATTGCTAATGATTTCTGTGTTTAATAGGTCAACCAGCCATTTGAGCTTATTGGAATGGATTTAATTGGTCCACTAAAAATGACTTCAAATAACAACCAGTACATATGTGTACTTATTGACTACTTAACAAAATGGCCCCAGGCATATCCGTTGAAGTCCAAAAGCGCTGAAGAGGTAGCAAAATGCATTCTGAAGTTCTTTTACCAGTTTGAAGCACCGAAGCGCATTCTAACAGACCAGGGG